CCCATTCCTTCTATACTCAAAGTTTCTGCCGACATCCCTCCTCCTCCTATTCATGCCTCCTCCTTCCACCCCTTCCTCCCAACACGACTCGTTCCTCCCCTGTTTCATCTGCATCCCCCCCCCCTTCCTTTCCTATTATTCCTTCCGCTTCCATGTGGATATTAAAAAAAAAAAAAAACATGGATTCTCTTCCTCCTGACATTTCTCCTGGAACTGATTTGATCACCCTTTTAGCCTCTCAGCCCAATTACTCACCCTCTCTACCCTCACCCCTCTTTGTCCCCCCCCCCCCAGTGCCACATCATTCTGGACTGCTTTACGACTCTGAACGTGTAGCACATTTAATGATCGAGTATCCCAGCTTTTTACCCTTTTCATTAATACTCCTTTTTTATAGTGTTATGTAACCTTTCTAGCACCCTTATTTTGCTGTGCAACCATTACCCATTATGTGAGGGTGCATGCTGTGCGAAGGCAGATACGGTTTATGTTCATATTTATATATTTTCCATTTGCAAGCTATACCAAGTTTCAACCATTTTCCTGCGGAAGGACATTCATATACATTCACTGTGGTACAGAGGACTAAAATATTCATAACATACGTCTATGAGTATGTTCTATTGAGCCAAAGTCTCAATCGGCCTTTTCTATTTAGGAGGAAGGTTTGTAAAGCATTCAGTTCGTAATGATGGGCAAAGCAATGCAATGGAGCACCCACTTGGCCCGGGGAAGTGGCACTGTTATAGATCCCGTACTGGAGATCCAAATCAGGCCCGGTAGAAGATTCGACAAGCTTGAGATGAAGACCCTGGTCGCTGATGGCTGGTGTGGAGAGCTGCTGAGCGGCCTCCTTAAAATTCACCATGTAGAACTTGCGGTTGTCTTGGAAACTGTTGGGGAGAAGAGAGCCTTTAGCCCTGGGTTTCCTCTACTCTTTATTCTCAGCATAATGTTTGTTTGTTTTTTTCTTACAGACATTAATGGGGTATGATATGCAGACATTTGACTGCTTCATTGCATTAGGATAAGGGAATGCAGAAATAAAGTAGGATAAGGGAATGCAGAAATAAAGTGAAAATGGTAAAAGATAAATCTAAGACTCCCTATCTAATGAGAGAGTACAAAGGCAAGTCTAGATAAAGGAAAGTACTGAGCACATCGCAATGATTTTGGTCGGAAGATCGAGATGCTTGGATTAAAGGGTAAGAAACTCTCTGACATGAGAAATGTATCTTCTGAAGATAGACGACCTGACAGAAAACTAGATCCTGAAAACAGAAGAGAAAATTTCCATTCCGAGAAAGTATATCCTACAGGTCAGTGGCTCCCAACCTGCATAGCCAATCCCCTCTAGGTGTGGTGTGTAATATTTTTATAGATCAGTACTCCTCATCTTTTAATCTACTTAATTAAGAATAACTGGTGATGAGGAGGAAAAAGTGGCGTGTGTCTCAGTCAACCCACGTAATTAGCATCCATTTTCCGTTTATTTTTTATTGTTTATTTATCTATTATTATTATTGTTTACTTTTTTTGCTGCAATTTGCTGTAATTTTGCACCTCGGGAGTATGAGAAGTGCAAACTTGTATAATAAATTCGTATTTGTGGATGCAGTAAACGGTTGGTGTGTCGTAGATGTACAGGATATATATTTATGTATCGCTATACAGCTGTAGATAGAAGAGACACTGTCTAAAAGCAGAAGTCGAAATGAGAACAGCAGTGACACTTTCAGACTTTAAAAAAATAGTTCCTGAAAACATAAAGAAAAAAATGCATCCTGAAGAAACAACAATACAGAAAAAAACAAAGTCAGAAGAAAGCCTGGAAAGCTAAAGATAAAACAATCAAACAAAACAAAACAAAACAAAATACCAGAAGCCAAATTACCTGGCAGAGGAGGAGGCTCAGAAGATGGCCCTGGCTCAAAAAGTACACCATTGAGAGAGAAGGAAAGGTTATTGCCAAAACGTAGACCCTTAAGAACAAAGGAGAAACTCCCTGCCACAAGAGGGCTTCCTCTAGAAACAAAAAAGGGGAGAAACGACAGGCGAAGCAGGTCCTAGGAACAGATATTTTTTCAGCAGGGAGGAAAAATAGACCCTAGGGAGAGACACGATAAAATCTACCAGAGAGAAGAGTGAGACTTTTAAGCTGAAAAAGAGAAAATACCTGAAAACAAATCCCACGAAGTCGTCATCGGTGCTCTCAATCGTAAAGGTTCCTTCGTAGTCAACACTGCCAAGACTCACATCACCTGACAACGTTCAAGGACTGAATTGTAGCGTGCACATGACGTGTAGTAAATGGTCTGAATAAAAGTGGTGGCGTAAGACCAAGGGGCTTCACTAACGCCTGGGACTGTGGCGGTAACTACTACAAAATGGTTTACTCACCAGTACCGAGGACAGAGAAATGTGTATGAGATAACATCAAAGAAATAAAATGTCTGAAATTATAATTCCATTCTTTACTGATAAAATCAACAAAAATGAAAGAATGCCCCAGCTCTTGGCATTAATATGATGGCCTCTTAGCCCCTCACAAATCCTCGAGTATAGGCTATACAAATGCATTTTGACATGTCTATGGTCAATAACGAAATTTAACAAATAATTGGCGAAGGGAATTACTATATGCACACAAAAATAAGCTTTTAATAGAAAACAACTGTGACGTCACAGTTTCTTAGCCAATCACGACTCGAACACTCTTAGCCAATCACAGGGCATCCAGTAATTCAGAGGCGGTTGTCGCGACACTCCTGCACAGAGCCCAGTTCCAAGTCAGAGCTGAACCTGTTCGCCAGCTTCAGTGGCGGATCCAGGATGTTTGAAGGAGGGGAGGTCGTATGTTTAGTAAAAGGGTGCCAGGCAGTGACAGTCATAAGCTAGAGGGTCTTAGGGGAGAAGAAAGCTTTAATTCAACCGCATTCAAGTTGTTCTTGAATAAATCATAGATTCCTGAATGTAGTGTCCTACTCTGGAGAAGCATAATTTATCTTACCAGGCACTGTGCATCGACTCTTTACTCTTTACTCTTCCCTCATTGGTATTACAATTAGATTTTATTGCGCAACACATTATGTTGGTTAGATTGCTTCTAAAACCAGCTGCTATAGTCCAGACTTCATAAAGGAAGCTATTCCTTCTTCCCTTTTATAGTCTGGCTAATGCTGGCAATACATACCGACGGCAGCAGAGGTGTCTCCTTCGTCTCTCTGGAAGAAGCCTGTCCTTCCAGCTAAAAATTGCCAGTTGCAGTTAGGTCCATCATCGGGAGCCTCCAAGGGAATTATCATCACTCTTCTGAAATGAAAAAGATCCCAAGCCTAAAGGAAACCATGCGCATAAAAGACAAGAACTAAGACAACTGTTTCCCCTAAGCAAACAGAACAGAAGTTTTGGAATTTACTTGAACTCTGTAGTGAAGACCTGGGCGTTCTTTGGGCAGATGTCGGTGCCATCAGGAACACCATCGTTATCGTAGTCGCCTTCACAGTCATCACCAACGCCATCTCCATCAGAATCAGCCTGGCCTCCGTTGGGAACAAGAGGACAGTTGTCGTTGGTATTGAGGATCCCATCGCCATCGGCATCTGTGTCGCACGCGTCACCGCTACCATCACTGTCGGTGTCTTTTTGGTCACTGTTGGCGATGCTTGGGCAGTTGTCCAAGTTATCTTGGATGCTGTCACTGTCAAATGTATTCTTAAGATTGGTATGTTATAAGGTGTAGCATGGCGCATTCTGAATATAAGGATATCAAGTATTAAGCGTTAAGATTATAATAACAGTACTACAACAGGCACAATAAACACAACTGCACCATATAGAAGCTTAATACCACAGGACGCTCTCTGCATGGACACTCCTACCCCTGCTTGGTTTCAGGTCTTTGGTATATTGCTGCAACAACTGACCTGTCTGTGTCCGTGTCAGTGTCACAGGCATCACCAACAAAGTCCTGGTCTGCATCAGCCTGTCCGACGTTCGCAATTGAAGGGCAATTATCACAGGCATCACCCACACCATCGCCATCACTGTCCGCTTGGCCTGCGTTGACGACGTCGGGGCAGTTGTCACCTCCATTGGCAAGACCTGATGGTGGGCAACGGGATTCACTTTCTTTTTCCCATTATGGCAATGAGTTATATGACTACAACCATTAGTTTATCGTATTTTCCTGTCATATTAATTTGTTTATTCGTTTTCTCAGATTTTTTTTTTTTTTTTTCTTTGTATAGCCCATGAAACAAAGAGCAGTCAGGTATATTTGGAAGGGGATTCGGACCTAAAATGAAATTAGAGGATCCATCACTGTGGTCTCCTACGAAATTGATCTGTACAAGAAGTTCATTTTTCATTCTGCTTTCTGGAACTCAAATTTTCCTTCGTCACTTTTGCTCTCTTTCTCTATTTGCATTGATAAAAAGGCAGTGATGGAAATTCATGGTTGTGATAGCACCAGGCCAGGTACCAATAAGTGAGATCTGAACGCGATTTAAATCAGCCTCTGGATAGAGAGTGAATGAATGGGATTCTTTACTTCTGTGAGAAAAGGGTCTCTGAGCTCTGGCGGAGGTTTGGGCAGTCTAAGAGCTGTCTAGTTATTATTGCTATTGTTAATATCATAATCTATAACCTGTGTGTTATGAGGATCACTGCCACTGACTCTGCTCCTAACATTATCACTCCTACAACTACATTTTTTTTTATAACAGTCCCCTTTATTTTTCTAATCTGACGACATATAATTGTTACCATCATTATCCATATCCGGGTCACATTCGTCCCCAAGACCGTCACCATCTGCGTCACGCTGTGTCAAGTTGGGCGTTGAGGGACAGTTGTCACAGGCATCCCCATGTTCATCTCCGTCACTGTCTGTTTGGTCATTAGTCATCACTGATGGACAGTTATCCTACAGGTGAAGAATGGGAACAATGATTATCCTGAATCAGTATAAACTTACCAAGCTGCAGGATCAATTTCAAATGCAAAACAGTGCCTCGCCAATAGACAAGAGGTACCCTGCTGCACCAGACACAAGAAACAACGATGGGAAAAGGTGAATACGGAAGAAAATGGAAATGGAAATATCTGTCGTGTGTTATTCCAAATCTAAATGTTCCTTGCCCATTCGATGCTCCTCCCATCACCGTCGAGATCGTAGTCGCAAGCATCACCGACGTCATCCCCATCGTGGTCAAACTGGTCTGGGTTATATATGTCGATGCAGTTGTCTAATCGGCAGCGCTCGTCGAGGCACCCTAGGTCCGCGTCGGGCCTTCCGTCCATATCCCTGTCGGGGCCACACGTGGTGCCATCACCGGCCTCTCCTTTCGGGCACTGTCAAAGGCACGGATGGTGAAGTCTAAGACAGGCACAGTATCGGAGCTATGGTGCATATACCACAGAACCTAACACAAAAACACTGTATGTAACGCTGACATTTTCCTCGCTCAGTAAGGCATTCCGGGCAACCATACCAAGGGCTGTAGCAGCGACCAAGCCGGATATGCGTCGCAGGTGTAGAAAGGCGCCGTGAGTATATGGTTACAGAACTTTCCCTCGGGGCACACTGTGCTGTGACATGGATCTGTAAAAGCGTTTGGTTTAGGGGAATCTTTCTTCCCTCACCCTATAATCCCTCTCTGAAACGATCTACAGAATCACGCATTATTTCCTATTCAAAATGTCAACTCCAAGCCCAACTGCATCTGCCTCGCCTAACTATAATGTTCAAACTCACCGAGGGAAATTTCCTAAACACAATTTGACCTTAGTTAAATATTTCTACAGATTTACGCCCAACAGACTTACTAGAACACTTAGTGCCGTCCCCAGCATAGCCTGGGTTACACGTGCAAGTGTGGCTCGTGTCAAGAATGGTGCAAAATGCATGGCTGTGGCAGTCCCAGCATGGCGGGTACATCGTCCACTCTTCAATCTCCACCAGAGCTTGTTGGGCTCCTGACAACCCATCGTACATCTCCTGAGGAACCTTGTCTGTCACGATAGGATAATATGTCAAAATAATATCATAAAGTTGTCATGTCTGTTAAGGATAAATAGGACCCTATTTTAAAATATTGAATTACTTTAAAGTAGGATGATATATCAAAATAATATCATAAAGTTATCATGTCTGTTAAGGATAAATAGAACCGTTATAAAATATTGAATTACTTTAAAGTAGGATGATATGTCAAAATAATATCATAAAGTTATCATGTCTGTTAAGGATAAATAGGAACCTGTTTTAGAATACTTCATTATTTTAAAGCATCGCAAATAATCAAGTAATAGTATGAAAAAAGAAAACTGAGAGGACGATAGAAGGAGAGAGAAAATGAGAGGGATGGAAAGAAAGAGGAAGACGGAAAAGAAGGAGAGAGAGAGAGAGAGAGAGAGAGAGAGAGAGAGAGAGAGAGAGAGAGAGAGAGAGAGAGAGAGAGAGAGAGAGAGAGAGAGAGAGAGAGAAATGGAAGAGGAATGAGGGGATGAGGGAGAGAAACCTGGATGGTAAGAGAGCGGAAAGACAGACAAACAGAAATAAGTCATAGGCCATATATATAAAACACTCGAGGTGTTTAACTGAACAAACCATATTTCTTGGTCATGAGTTGGCTGTCCCTTTTGCTGGGCTGCAATGCCCTTGTTACTTTGTGATAGCCAAACAGTATTTAATTTAGGAATTGAAACTTTCTTTATTAACAAAAAGAATAATCTAATTGAAGGACATGATATGAACGTATAATTCGCCTAGCCATACAATATGTTTAAAACTTAACCTTAATTCAATCAAAGTTAGCAAGCGAGGCAGGCACAAAGGAGCAACATCGGGATACCGAAAATCCTTAAAACCGCACCCTACAATCCCATTCATAAAAAAACAGTAAACATCACTAACCGTTGCATCTGTACTTAATATTTGCCCAGATGATATCCGGCATCAATTGGCAGTACGGGCCGAACCGCCCTCCACGCAGCACGTCGTTGTAGATGTTGCCAGAATCCGCCAGCAAAGTAGGACCTATGCTGAGGAACACGCGGATGGTACCAATCAGAGGACGATGAAGGATCTTCACGCGATAAAGGAGCTTTCTCGACCAAGGAAATGGATCATGCCAAAGGAGTTCCGTCTGGAAAGGAGTTTAAGGTTACAGAGACGGATGGCAGAGAAAAGAGAATGAGAAAGTGGGAAGAGAGTTTGTTATTTACTTGTTTCGTGTCAGGGTGGAAACTGTATGTGAGGTTCTTCATGTTGTTGCTGTGATCATCTTTTGAGACGATTTTGTTCCTTCGAGATTACAACAACCAGGCTTCAAAGATCAAGATTAAAATTTTCCATGAAGTCACTGATATCACATTATGGGAACATCTCACTCTCTTCGCATTTTAATTTCCGGTGAGTAATTATCTTTTTTTTCTCCTTTTCATATTTGCCTTATAGAATTTTCGTAAATTCTAAATCAAAAAGAGAAAAGTGACAAATAGAAAACATTGATACTAACAAATATTATATTCCAAAATAACGGTCGAAAAAATAAAGTACAGTAAAACAGCTAGCCGTCAACCACGACCATTCCCATTACGTCACAGAAGTGGGTGGAGCCTCCGATCACGAGACACCCTAATTGCCACCAGAAAAGATGGCACTTGTATAGCCTTGAAAATCCTGCTTAGTGAAGGGGGTGGGGGCTCTGCTCCCCTGTTCCTCCCCTCCTTAGCCTAGCACTTGGGGAAGTACCCCTTCCCCTCATAATTGAGATGGGTAAAAGATTATCAAGTAATGATTTATGAGGAATAGATGATTAATATCGGAAAAAAAGTGCTTTCATTGCAACTACGCTGGTGTTGTGATTAATTTGTAAAATAATACGAAAAAGGAAAAGAAAAAAAAATACTTGCCCTTTTGGAGCAAGGAGGAAATAGTTTCACAAATCTACAGTCTCAAACATAGCGTAGAGTAGTTCCCCTTCCAAGTGACTATAAAAAATGTAAATTTGTAGTCTATTTTTAGGAAAGTATTAGGAAAATAACCGGAAGAACGATTTTGCAAAAATTGACAAAAGGCCATTTATACAAAAAAATTATCTAAGGCATAGGCCAAAGGATGAATATTACACAGCACTGTATTTTTGAAATCTAAAATAATACACAGTGAAATTTAGAATAGAATAAAAGCATTTAGGTAATATTACTAATATATATATATATATATATATATATATATATATATATATATATATATATATATATATATATATATATATATATTTTTTTTTTTTTTTTTTTTTTTTTTTTTTTTTTTGCACGTGACTTTTCTGAGGCATCAGTTCTGATTTTCGTAGTAGATAAAAACAGCTAGGTGTAGGCCTAAAGATTCCGTTAAAAATATCTTGGTATCTTGATATGACTCGGTAGTCATATCAAAGGATACAGACCCATTACCAAACAGTATTGCAGCAAATTCTACCATATCTGTATTAAGAGCAACATATTTTTGGCTCTATAGACTAGAATTGGTGTATATATCAATTACGGACTCGTCACGTGAGTTTGGCCTTGTGTTCAGTCACGTGACATATCCTCTGGGCTGCCAACATTTGACAAAAAAATCGTATTGACGATAGGATTTTAACAGATAAGTAAGAGAAAGTAATCATCCTAAGTGTAATTAGCTGATTGAATGCAAATATCCGATTATACACAAAATCAAGCAATTTCAAAAGTTGGCAGACTTGTAGTGTGGTCGCGGTCGCCTTGTGTCATAGATTATGGACTGTAATGCAATGATCTGCCATGCATAGTAATAGCTTAATCTTATCCTGTGAGGCATGAACTTAACATCTATCAACTTCATTCCAGATAAAAAAAATACTGACACATTTCTTTTCCCTATATACCAGCTGGTTGAGGAGGACGGCGTGCTGGTTCTCTGTGAAGCTAAAGGACGCTTATACAACAGGTCCTGCAGCAACTCTCCTAATTCTTTGGAACACTCGGCTCGACTCGGCCCAGCAGGCTTAGATAGCCTATATCTACAGCACGGGTGTTAGGTCAAGTGAGCCATCAGTAAAGATAAATTCTTTCTGGGAGTCTGCTGGTTGCAATGATCCTCTGTGTTTAAGCAGGGTGTTAGTGCCTACGAACCTCATGACTCTTTCCATGAGTCGACTGTCATCCAAGACCCAAGACTTTCTAGTGAAATTATAGAGGCTTTGAGAGTTGCAGGTTGGGAAGGCCCAGTTTCGATCACCAGAATTGTGACGGTTGCGGAAAGTGTGAAATAAGAATGTATTTCACGCTGGAAGTTATTTTTCCTTGTGTATATTTTTTCGTTAATTCCCTTTTCTCTTTTTTCTCTTCTCTGCCAGTTACATCTTTAAGGTTAATCAAACTTTTTTTTCTACATTTGTGCACTTTCGTTCACTCGTTTTGAACATCTGTCCCAATGAACTCTATCTATCTATCTATCTAATGAACTCTATCTATCCTTCATCAATGTCGATGAATTCCAAAGTAGCCTCTACAGAGTTCCACGGGGTGAGTGGTGGTGCCTACAATAGAGGTGTACTAAGAGTACCGCTGCAAGGCTGACGAGGTAGCCTCTACAGAGTTCCACGGGGTGAGTGGTGGTCGCTTGACCTAATCAGACCAGGAATAAGCTGACTGAACAGACGACCAAAACCGTTTCAGGAAAGCTATTGGCAAATGAAACTTCTAGGGAAGGTCGCAGCCATCATGTTTACGGAGTCGCTGCACAGCCACGGTAATCGGCTCTGTAGGACGACCATATTTTCGGATAAAATATATGAAAAAATTTGTATATGTACATGTATGTATGTATGTGTGTGTATCTGTGTTTGTGCGAGCGACTGTAGATTCAGAAATATATATATATAAACATACAGAATGGTAAATAAGCAGATAGACACATATATACACAACGCAATGCAATCTTTACTATCCCATCCTCCTACATGGCCAGCCACTGAAGGCGTGTCAAAGAGAGCTGTCTTGAGGCGTTTGCTGGGTCCGGCTGGAGAGGTGACCAACTTCAGGTGAATTCCCGCTTCACCATAGGCATCGTAGCCGCCTGAACTGTAGGATTCACCCTCTTGCTTCCACGTCACCAAATAGAACCCGAAGTAACTGTGAAAACTGCAAGGGGGGGGAACGGAGAATGGGTTATGGGTGACGCTCCTGTGCAACCTGGAATTATAGCGATCATATCGACCGGTTTGTTAAAATTGTGCAAGGGCCGACCCAAAGAATATTCGTATACTTGACATGCATAAATAAAGAAATGAATACATATCTATCAGGCTAGACATGCATATCAACCAGGCAAATAGACAGTTACATGTATATCTATCAGATATATCGACAGACATGCCTTTATTTGTGTCTGTATTTATGAAAATTCACTGGGTCGGGCCTCATAATTAAAAAAAACCGGCCGCTATAAACAAGCAGAAACGCTTTAATCTAAACCGACTGCGTACACAATACCCTGCGTATGAAGTCAAAGTAAATCAGGGTAATAATCCTAAGTTTACATACCTAAATGTAAGCCCCATGAAGTCGTCATCACCATCATCCATGGCGCCAAGAGTTGCTTCGAGGTCCAGTCCGCTGATCCTGACATTCCCTAGAACGAATGGAAGTGAACCTTATTCTCTGTGACAAATGTAGGAAAAGGTATGAATAAGAAGGGATATCTTTACTAATGATGCATTTCACCGGTTTCGAATATATCTTGGTCAGAAATTACATGTATTTCCGACGATGATATATTCAAAATCGGTGAAATACGTCTCTTGGATTGTTAAGTTACCCCTTCTCTTTCATACCTTTCTTCTACAAATAAATAACATGCAGAGGTCGCTTACATCGGTGATATGTAAACAAAACTTTCTGACCAATTAAATTTCTCGACAATGGCTGTTTTTTGTATCTCATGACATGTGAAATTGACAAATCATAGATTGAAATAAACTATAAGTATCAATAAACACTATCATTATCATTGCTGTCTATATATATCATAATTTTTTAATTATTATTATTATCATTATGTTTATTATTATTGCTGATGTGACTATTACTCCAATTATTATTGCTAGTTATCATTATTAGATACTGAATTATTAGCATCACTTGTTGCCATCATCATCATCACATCACCATCATGATCATCGTCACCATCATGATCATCATCACCATCATGATATCATCACCATCATCATTGGGTTTCAGTTCCATTTTCTCTTGACACTATATGCCAAACACCACACATGGAACACCATGGACCACACATCACATGTCATACAGTGTTCACCATACACCAACCACCACACACTATACTCTACCTACCATCCACCAGACATCCTACGCATCACACCATATGCCAAACACCATGCATCAACACCACCCACGATATGCCAGGCAGCTCATAGGAAACACCATACACCATCTGCGTTATTTAAAACAATAATAATAAAAGATTAAAATAGAAATAAAAAAATAAACACTATACACCATCCACGATATACCAATACCATACAACACCCACTATATGCTTAATACCAGGCACCATATAGCAAATACTGAACACCATTCGGGTATGACACACCATACACCATCCTCAATGGGCTAAACACCATACATCAGACACGAATCAGCAAACATACACCATCATCGATATACCAATCACCATACACCATCCCCGATATAACAAACAGTATACACATCCTCGATATACCAAACACTATACACCACAGCGATATACCAAAAATTCACCATAAACCATCACCACATAACGCTATACATACACCATCCCCGACCATCCATACAATACCATCCCCGATATACCATACACCATCCTTGATATACCAAACACCATACCCGAATTCCCAAACACCATCCTTGATACACACCCACCATACCCAACATCCAAAAACACAAACAAACCATAAAAAAACACCCACCCACCACCCACCACACCCATCATCCCAAAACAAAAAAACCATAAAAAAGACACCACCACCCACCACCCACCATACCCATCATCCCCAAAACCAACAACCATAAAAAAAAGACACCCACCCACCACCACACCACCATACCATCATCCAAAAACACAACAAACATAAAAAAAGACACCCACCACCCACCACACACCACCCAACATCCCAAAACACAACAAACCATAAAAAAAACACCCACCCACCCACCCACCACACCCAACATCCCAAAACAAAACAAACATAAAAAAGACCCCACCCACCCCCACCCACCATACCCAACATCCCAACAAAACAAACCATAAAAAGACACCACCCACCCACCACATACCATACCATCATCCCAAAACAAAACAACCATAAAAAAGACACCCACCCACCCACACCCACCACACGCCAGTCACCACACCCTTACCTAGTCCCGTCGCTGGATCAGAACTCTCTGTCTGTTCAATCTGGATTCCCTTGGCCGAGGAGATCCACTTAGCGGGGTCGGGGGAGCTGGGATCGTCGTACTCCAACCCCTGTAGGACACTGGGGGGGGGAGAAAGGGGGTGGGGGTTACGGTGGGGGTTGCATTCAGCATTCACCGGGCCACCACAAATTAAGGAGGGGAAATACGGCATTCACCGGGCCACCACCGTGGGGGTTGCATTCAGCATTCACCGGGCACCACAAATTAAGGAGGGAGAAAGGGGGTGGGGGTTACGGTGGGGGTTGCATTCAGCATTCACCGGGCCACCACAAATTAAGGAGGGGAGAAAGGGGGGGGTTACGGTGGGGGTTGCATTCAGCATTACAAATTAAGGAGGGAGAAAGGGGTGGGGGTTACGGTGGGGGTTGCATTCAGCATTCACCGGGCCACCACAAATTAAGGAGGGGAGAAAGGGGGTGGGGGTTACGGTGGGGTTGCATTCAGCATTCACCGGGCCACCACAAATTAAGGAGGGGAAAAGGGGTGGGGGTTACGGTGGGGGTTGCATTCAGCATTCACCGGGCCACCACAAATTAAGGAGGGGAGAAAGGGGGTGGGGGTTACGGTGGGGGTTGCATTCAGCATTCACCGGGCCACCACAAATTAAGGAGGGGAGAAAGGGGGTGGGGGTTACGGTGGGGGTTGCATTCAGCATTCACCGGGCCACCACAAATTAAGGAGGGGAGAAAGGGGTGGGGGTTACGGTGGGGGTTGCATTCAGCATTCACCGGGCCACCACAAATTAAGGAGGGGAGAAAGGGGTGGGGGTTACGGTGGGGGTTGCATTCAGCATTCACCGGGCCACACAAATTAAGGAGGGGGAAAGGGGGTGGGGGTTACGGTGGGGGTTGCATTCAGCATTCACGGGCCACCACAAATTAAGGAGGGGGAGAAAGGGGGTGGGGGTTACGGTGGGGGTTGCATTCAGCATTCACCGGGCCACCACAAATTAAGGAGGGGAGAAAGGGGTGGGGGTTACGGTGGGGGTTGCATTCAGCATTCACCGGGCCACCACAAATTAAGGAGGGGAGAAAGGGGGTGGGGGTTACGGTGGGGGTTGCATTCAGCCACGGGCCACCACAAATTAAGGAGGGGAGAAAGGGGGTGGGGGTTACGGTGGGGTTGCATTCAGCATTCACCGGGCCACACAAATTAAGGAGGGGAGAAAGGGGGTGGGGTTACGGTGGGGGTTGCATTCAGCATTCACCGGGCCACCACAAATTAAGGAGGGGAGAAAGGGGGTGGGGGTTACGGTGGGGGTTGCATTCAGCATTCACCGGGCCACCACAAAATTAAGGAGGGGAGAAAGGGGGTGGGGTTACGGTGGGGGTTGCATTCAGCATTCACCGGGCCACCACAAATTAAGGAGGGGAGAAAGGGGGTGGGGGTTACGGTGGGGGTTGCATTCAGCATTCACCGGGCCACCACAAATTAAGGAAAGGGGGAATTAAAATGGAATAAGAGATCACTACGGAAAGAAAGGCTAGATTGTATGTTCGACAAGCATTTTCGTTTGCCTTTGTTTTCCGTCTGGAAGAGCTGTTTAATAGTCGATTTAAGACTGTTACCCGAAAAGGTGTTAAAGATTTTTTTTTTTCCTAGTCATTCATAACTTTTTGTGCTATATAATACGTTAAAGATTTTGGAAATTCTTGTTTCCTTCATCTCCATTACATGCTACAACTCTTCGATAAATTCACTTTCATTAGTAATGGCAACCAGCATGTTTTCCTTTAACTATTACTCCTATCACCCACCACGTAGGGGAATAAGTCCTTACATATTGCGATTACTTATTTACTGTTATAGCGAGCTGTATGTTGGGAATATTTTGACGAATTTTTAAGTATGAAGCAAACTGAACCAAACCATAGCTTGACAGCGTTTCTCGTCAAAAATGCGCCTGTGACTGTATCGACATCAATGACTTGACCAAATGTCAAGCGCAAAATGGCTTAAAAGTGGTACAGTATTCGATTAAAAGCTCCTGTGCATTTCTGTAACGAAGGATCTTTGGTGTATATATATATATATATATATATATATATATATATATATATATATATATATATATATACATATATATATATATATATAAATATATATATGTATGCACACTCCTTAGATGTACATGTAAATGACAGGTAACGCCAGCCCCGGCATCTTTCGTGGTCTCGAAGCCAAAGTCGAAATAAAGGCTTATTTCGACTCCGCCCAACACCACTGCATGCTGAGCCGGAGGCGGAACTGACCCCAAATCCTGCTCGAAAATGGCGTTGTTCTTGGGGCAGATGTCGTTGGCGTCGAGGTGGCCGTCGCCGTCGAAGTCGAGTGCGCATGCATCGCCCACGCCGTCGCCCTCCATGTCGTCCTGGTCGGCGTTGGGCACGAGCGGGCAGTTGTCGAACGCCGAGAGGATGCCGTCGGAATCGGCGTCCAAGTCGCACACGTCGCCCACGCCGTCCCCGTTTACGTCGCCCTGGTCGCTGTTGGCGTCGATCGGGCAGTTGTCCACGCTGTCCTGGATGGAGTCCCTGTGGGAAGAGGCCTGGGGTATGGCGGCCGGACTTCTGCTTTGCGCTTGCTCTTTTTCGCTTTTCCCTTTCATCTTTTGTCTTTCTCACGCTCCACATTCCTGCACCCGAATTATACTGACGAAGACACACAAATGCACACACAGACACTCTTATACATATATAAACATTCCGAGTTCTTTAAATGACATTATGGTACAGAACACCTCTGGCAGCAGAAGATGAATCCCATTTTTACTATCATTATTGCTGTTTTTTTTCAGACATAGCAGCCACAGACACAACATGGAGACTCTACTGACATGTCCGTGTCTATGTCATCATCGCAAGCGTCACCGATGAGGTCCTTGTCCGCGTCAGCCTGGTCTGGGTTGGCAGCCGAAGGACAGTTGTCACACGCGTCACCCAGGCCGTCGCCGTCGGTGTCAAGCTGGTCCGCGTTGACAATTTTCGGGCAGTTGTCGGCGACGTCGGAAACGCCTGGATCAATGGGTGTGGATAAATTGAATCTTTTAATTGCATTCCCGTGTCATTACAAATAGGTCAGGTGGTCTATGAGAAGGGAAATGCAGCAAAATGAATGAAAGATATGTTCATATAATTGTTTCAAGTTGTTATGGTGGCTCTTTGGAGAGTGACTAGACATTCGGACAGTGGTGACATTTCAGATAATTTCAGCTGTTTGATGCGAAAGGTATTGCATACATACATACATACATACATATATATATATATATATATATATATATATATATATATATATATATATATATATATATATATATATATATATATTATATATATACACACATACACACACACACACACACACACACATATATATATATATATATATATATATATATATATATATATATATATATATATATATATATATGTAAGGGACTGGAATTTTTCCAATTAAAATTTTCATATTTGTGCAACTCCATTTTTGTAAAGATCTCATAATCGTGAGTTTTTCGTATACCAATTTATTTAAATGTAAGTCTTTTCTAACTGAATTTAGTGCATCGTTAAATATTTAGGTAGCGTGACTTATACGGTCTTTAAGGCTCGTCGGGTGGGAATGAATTATTTCCTCTGATGAGTGTGCTAAATATTCCAACAGTCATAGAAACGTTTTTAACCATTAATATTATATTCAATAAATAAATAATGATGAACAGGTGGCATACCATTATGTAAATATGATTATTTAAACAAGCAAAATTCTCAACTAAGCTAATTTTGAACATCAATTTTATACCCTCCCTTTTCTTATTAATTATGAATCAATATAATTTTGATAAACAAAATAAATATATACATGGGACGGAATCGAGACCCTCAAACCCATTCTATCAGAATTCTGTCCATGATTTTACGAGGACATAAGCCAGTCATTCCGCTTCCTTTAATCTTCCCAATTTCCCTCTTACACTTCATTCTAATAATTTAATTCTCAATCAACCATTGACATCACCGGAACTGTCACGACTAATTCCGTTGCTGTATCCATGGACCATTAAAATAACTGAATGAATAACAAATATTCTCTATCAACAAAGCATTATGGCGTGTTGTTCTCTCCACATTTTTTTTTCAATTATTTCTGTCTCTCTCTCTCTGTATGGAAGGAAGGCAAGGACTCGTCTCAGTTATCATAAATCAATACAAAGGGATATAAAAATCATATTAATACACTTATCAAGCATCGCAATCTATTCATAATAATACAGCTAACCTCCCTCCACTTTTGCCCACCCTTTCTCTATTCTCGTGCAAACACTTGTCTCTCCCTCCCTAGTAATTATGCCTCCCTCAGATATTCAAACCATTCTTCTGGTTCCAGATTATTGTTTTGTGAGTCTTCTAACGTCTAATATTTCATCTCTCCCACACACACACGTATATATGCGTGTATGATCCACATCATTGTTGTGTAAGTCTTCTAACGTCTAATATTCCAGCTCTCCTACACACACACGTATATATGCATGTATGATCCACATCATTGCTGTGTAAGTCCTCTAACGTCTTATAATTCATCTCTCCTAAACACACATGTATATATGCATGATCCACATCATTGTTGTGAGTCTTCTAACTTGCTGTGTAAGTCTTCTAACGTCTAATATTTCATCTCTCCCACACACGTATATATGCATGTATGATCCACATCATTGTTGTGTAAGTCTTCTAACGTCTAATATTTCGTCTCTCCCACACATACACATATATATATGTAGGTATGATCCAGATTATTGTTGCGAGTCTTCTAAAATCGAATATTTAATTTCTTCCACACACACACACATATGTATGTATGTGTGCGTGTGTGTTTACTTACCGTCACTGTCACTGTCAGGATCACATGGGTCGCCGATGTTGTCACCGTCAGTATCCATCTGGTCCGAGTTGACGTTGGCAGGGCAGTTGTCACAGGCATCACCCACGCCGTCGCCATCGCTGTCGCTGTCAGCGGTCAGGTTTACGGCAGGGCAGTTGTCCTGGGCGATGGCAAGGAGAGGAAAATGAAGGGAGAAGGAAATGAGGAAAATGAATGGGAGAGGAAAATGAAGGGAGAGGAAAATGAAGGGAGAAGGTAAATGTTGGGGAGAGTGAGAGGGGGGAGACAGAGGGAATGTTGATGAGGGCTATAAAAATAATAATGATAATGATATTGATAATAATATCAATAATAATAATAATGATAATGATATTAATAATCATATCAATAATAATAATAATGATAATGATATTAATAATCATATCAATAATAATAATAATAATGACAATAATAATATCAATAATAATAATAATGATAATAATTTAATTTGATTCCATTTGCTACAGTGATTATTCTCGGTGTGACAGACTTTCTGTTAACTGTCTGCAAGGAATGGCCGGGGTTGCCATCCACGGCGGTGCGGGATTTGAACGCGGGGCAGCGAAATTGCTAGACAAGAACGCTACCCCTGCACTACACAGAATGGGAAGGAACAAGGGAGGTGTGTGTGTGTGTGAAAGTGTGTGAAAGTGTGTGTGTATGTGTGTGTGTGTGGTGTGTGTGTGTGTGTGTGTGTGTGTGTGTGTGTGTGTGTGTGTGTGTGTGTGTGTGTGTGTGTGTGTGTGTGTGTGTGTGTGTGTGTGTGTGTGAAAGTGTGTGTGTGTGTGTGTGTGTGTGTGAAAGTGTGTGAAAGTGTGTGTGTGTGTGTGTGTGTGCGTGTGAAAGTGTGTGTCTGTGCGCGTGTGTGTGTGTGAGCGTGAGTGTGAGTGAGTGTATATATGTGTAAGTGTATGCGCGTGTACTTATAAACATGTCTGTGCATCTGTCCACACGACAGAACGCGAGACTCCCCCCCCCCCTCACCGCAGCGTTGGCCAAGCCGTCGTCATCGGCGTCGTCGTCGCACGCATCGCCGAGGCCGTCCCCGTCGGCGTCCTCCTGGCCAGCGTTGGGCCACGTCGGGCAGTTGTCCTGGACGCAGCCGGGGACGCCGCAGGGAAGCCCGGAGTTGGGGAAGCCGTCCTGGTCGTTGTCGGGTCCGCAGGTCTCGCCGTCGCCCGCGGAGCCCGGCGGACACTGAGGCCGGGGTTGGAGGCTGAGACACACGTGCTTGTATACGTACATACACATACATATTGGAAACGCACAGTACATAGATACATAATACTCACACACTCACGCACACACACAGACACACACGCACATACAGGCATACACACACGCATACACACATACACACACACACACACACATACACACACTCACACACACACACACACACACACGCACGCACACACACACACGCACACATACACACACACACACACCGCACACACACACACACACACACAGACACACACACAGACACACACACACACACACACACACACACACACACACACACCACACACACACACACACACACACACACAGAAAGCAAGATCGACCTTCGTTTACAAAGCGACCTTACCTGCAGGTCAAAACAGGTCTGCCCATTCCCGCCATAACCCGGTGGACACCTGTCGCAGATGTACCAGGTCTCGTTAAAGGTGGACGTGCAGTTTACACCTGGGAAACAAGGGTCGGCGGCACAGGCACCTGTTGTGGAGACACGAAGGGTGGGTGGGTGAGTGGGTAGGCAGGAGGGGCGGGAAGGTTGGATGGGTGGGTGAGTGGGTTTTTTGGGTGGGTGGGTGGGTGAGTGGGTTTTTGGGAGGGTGGGAAGTGTGGGTGGATAGTCAGGAGGGGCGGGAAGGTTGGGTCGGGGGGGAGTGGGTTTTTGGGAGGGTGGGAAGGGTGGGTGGGTAGGTGGGAGGGGCGGGAAGGTTGGGTGGGAACACTGGGTGGGGTGGGTTTTGGGAAGGTGGGTGAGTGAGTGGAAGGGATGGGTGGTTGGGTTGGTGGGTGGGAACATTGGGTTGGTGGATGTGTGAAGGTTGGGTGGGTGGATGAGTGTTTTTTTGGGGGAGAAGGGGGTGAATGAGTGGGCTTTGGGAGAGAGGGATGGGTGGGTGGGTATTTGGGATGGCTTCGTGTGTGGGTGGATTGTTTGGGGGGGGGGGGGTATGAGATGCTGCCCCACACGCACACACTAAAAATAAGTGAATTAAAGTACGGTGCAACCCTTATCCTAAGACTAAACTTAATGGAGGCCAGAAGCTGGGCTAAGACACCCCTGGTAAAAAAAAAAAAAAAAAAAAAATCAAATCTGTTCATAACTTTTTGAACTATGCTGCTAACTATCCTGGATCCAGATTACTACCAAAATTTAATAGCATCTAAGTTGGGCTAAGGCACACCCATGGTAAAAAAAAAAAAAAAAAAAAAAAAAAAAAAAAAAAAATCTGTTCACAACTTTTTGTTACTTGTTAACCAATTAACGAACAAACTAATCAATGTAACCAAAAACATAACCTTGGCGGAGATAATGATAATGATGA